ACTACTGCTGCAATACTCTTCTAGGGGTTAATCCCCAAACCCTAACAGGTTGTTTACAGTTACCCAATTTTCCAGAGTACTTCCAGGATTTAAGAACCATTTTGCTCATGAAGCAGTAGATTCCCCCACATCTAACTATTTTATTTATTGGCTTTTAGCAGGTTTGTAGAATGATCTACCTACAAATTATACAATTTTTAGTTATTATTGAATTACTTTCTATGCAACTGAGAACAGAAGGATACTCTTTACTTTGAGGGGGTGTCACAGTGGACATGTTCTATTTTTTATTTTTTGGTATCTTAATCTATAATTTGGATTTTTCAAAATATTGCTATTCAGTTATTAATTGCACCTTTTTTAGTTGATTAAATGATTTTTAACTGGATAATTAACCATTGTAGATTTCCCTGTAATTGTACTATAGGAAAATTACTTTCCAAAATTAATATATAACAACATCTTTATAAACATTATTCCAAGAAAGAAAAGGGTATGTCATTGTTTTGTCAACAGTATTGTCCAGTAACCCTTCAGTTAATCTCATTTCAAGCATTTTTAGGATGATTAAGGATGGAACAAAAACAGTATACAGTCAGGCTGGACAACTTTCAGCAAAAAGAACTACAGTTAGGATTTTTAAAACCTGCATGAGCCGTAATGAATGAAACCCAAGGGCAAAGAAATATAATTGGGTGACACACTCACCTTCCTTTCCCAGAGCAACGTATTTTTCCAAGGGCGAAAAAGGGACCCCTGGTGGTCAAAGCTTTAATAAGGTGGACTCTCGAATTTTACTTTCACTTTTCCATAAACTCGTCATTAAACTTCTGTTGCTGGCAGCAATTGAAGGAGACAATTTTTCGGCTTGCCAGATTTAATGGGCTTCTTTCAGTCATAGCGGGAAAAACTGTCATACCCATGGACAATGATCTTCACAAAATGTAAGTGATAGATTGTTTTCCCCTCCTAAGGATGCCTTTTCCAACCGGGTTGCTGAGAGAATTGCGTTCTTGTTTTTTCAAGACAAGGGAAGCTTTGCTCAGAGGATAAGACAAGATGTGGACAGCTTTAGGGAAAAAGGGAGCTCCTGCTTAATCTCAACTTCCTTTTGTGTGTGTATGGATCTAGTCTACTTATTTCAGGCTTTCTATTTATAACTTTTAACCATGTAAAAATCTGTTGTATGCAAGAATCTTCAGGGAAAAGGTTGTATAGTTTTTCAGCAAGTAATCCTATTTTGGAGTGAATTTATTCTTCTGTGGAAAATATTTCTGATATTATTTCTGGGCAGGTCAAGGTAGCAGTTGATTATATAAACAATTACATGTACTAAAATGATAATATTTGACTGTTAGGTTTTAGATCTGCTAATCAAAAATAGGTCTATCTTTAGAAGTGTGATTGTGACTTATAAAGGATAGGGATATGGGGAGAGGGAGCTCCAATAATCTTTTTGAAAGATTCCTCTTGCTGCCAAGTTTAGAACTGAAATCAAGAGTTCAAGGAGGAAGATGTTTGTTTCCACCAATACCAGCAACTAATATTTGTGAAGGTTAAGCTTTTCAAAAGCAGCATTCTATATATAGGCAGCAATTGGAAACTTTTTCTATAACCTTGGTTGTAAAATCTCCTTCAGATATTATTAAGTCACAACTGTGATTCCAAATGACCAGTCTTATCGTATGTTTCCATAATTTGGAATCACATGATTGGTTGGGAAACTAAGAGCTCCATGGTAGCTCTTAGAATAATTTTACTTCCTAGTGACTGGGAAAGTTGCCTGTAGCATCAGGTGTATTAACCACTCCCCTAGGCAAAGCACTGCACAGAGCCATGAACAGATGAATCACACTTCTCCTTATTTTTTGTTAACACTTCAGTGACATTAAGAACTGAGCATGCATATTTTACAAGGTCCTAACACAATGATGGAGAACCTTTTTGTTGTGGTGTGCCGAAAGTGCGTGCACGCATCACAGCATGCAAGTGCGCATGCCAGTACCCACAATGCAATGCGACCCGCCCCCCTACGCATACATGTGCAACACCCCCCAACCTCTTATATGCACTGCGCATGTGCACACCTCCCAGCTGATTTTTGGCCCATTTGAGGCCTTTTTCGCCCTCCCGGATGCTCATGGGAAGCCTCTGCAGTCTTTGGAGGAGGCCGAAAAACAGGCCCGTCTCGGCATTTGTTATTTTCTGAAGGCCCATTTTTCAGCTTCCCAAGGCTGCAGAGGCTTCCCTTGAGCCTCAGGGAGGCCGAAAATGGCCTCAAATGGCCCAAAAATCAGCTGGAAGACACACACATGCACAGTGCAGGTAAGTTTGGATGGGGCTTGCATGCCCGCACAAATGGCTCCACGTGCCACCTGTGGCACACGTGCCACAGGTTCACCATCACCGTCCTAACATGTTGATTATTGGATTCCTGAACCAGAGAACCATTTCTTCTCAGAACTTTGGCTGGATTGTATTTTGCCTTGATTTCCAACTGTAAATTCCAGTCAGTTCTGTCCATAGTTCTAAGTTTGGCATTGTTCACACGATCAACTAATCTAAGCTGATCTAAAATGTGAAAAACAAACTTCTGAATCATTACCTAGTTATACTTTGATTGGAAATTCTGGAACTTGGAAATTTCTTTTAAAGCAGGGGTCCCCAAGCCCTTGGCTGTGGCCCTTTTGGAACTGGGCAATGGCCCTTTTGGAACTGGGTCACTCAAGCGCTGGGCAAGTGCACATGAATGCACCCACCCCTTGTACAAAAGGAGCTGCAAGTGGACGTGCCTGCATTCCCCTCTCCCCCTGAAAGTCCACCAAGCCAGATAGATTAGAGATTGTTGTTCTAGAGTACCCAGGTTATAGAAACTAGTTCTGCATTTTAACCCAAGCCCAAAACAGTTTCTCTAGAATGGAAGATGCTCGCCCACAGAACAGCAAAGAAATCAAAACAGTTGCATTTGAAAAGTTGGGAGCCATAACTCAGCCTCCTAATCTTCTGAAGGGACAAAGATAATGCTTTCATGTCACTGGAAGGGGTTGGTTTAATGAAGCAGCCATACAGCTTAGTCAATCAATGTTCTGGTTATTATATGCTCTTAATTTCCAAAATTCAATTGTGCTCTACAGTAGTGTGGTCAAGAAATTGAACCCAAGGTCGAGCTGTGATTTTGTTTTAAAAGATTTCCACTGAATTTTATGGGATTGCCCTGGCAGGAAGACAACATTACTGTGTTTCATGTCAGGAAATAATCTATACATATTCAATTTGGATGAATGCGCCAGATTTGCAAACACAAAATCTGAGCCACCTTAATCCTCAGGCAAAGGTTTTTATGACTATTGGGGAATTGGAGTTTGCAGGAAAAAGGAAAGGAATAAGCTGGGAAAGTTACGATAAATCAGTTTTAAATATCAGAGAACAGAAGAGCCTGTCCAAATTAAAATCCCTATATTTTTCTTCAATGCTTACTTGAACAGCTTCAGGCCACAGTTGTTTTCAGAGGCCCCTTTTCCAATATCTCTCACAATTGTGTGTGTGTGTGTGTGTGTGTGTGTGTGTGTGTGAGAGAGAGAGAGAGAGAGAGAGAGAGAGAGAGATACCTCATGTATATGGTCACATGTGTGGCCTCGTGTATATAAGCACCCCTCACACACACATATAAATGAGGCATGCGGGACATTTATATTAATATATTTTTGCTCAAAGATTTTCCATTTTTACCCAAGAATTCCTACTTTTGTATTCAGTTTGATTTTAGATGCCTGCTCAGCTCCAGAATATTGACTTAAGTGTTTTTCTCTGCTATTAACTGCAACATACAATTCTCTTTCCCACCCACCCCCCTTATGTTTTAGGAACATTTAATTAAACAATGTAATCTGCCCAGAAACCTTCCATTTCAGGCATTATCATCACCTCATGTGAAGAGAAGACCAGGAGTTCTTTAATAAGAGCGCTCTTCTCAGTTGATTCCTTTAACTTTGTTTGCTTCATTACATGTTGGTCAAAGTTAAAGCACCCACAGTAAAGGAATGTTAATGTTAATTCAGCATTAGCCAATTTAGTGTGGTGTATAACATCAGGCTAGAAACTGAGATGGTGAAGTTTAGCCTCGCCTTGGGCACGATGCCAGATAGGTGACCTTAGGCCAGTCACTTTATCTCAGCCCTACGAAGGAAGCAATGGCAAACTACTTCTGAAAAGCCTTGCCAAAAAACTGCAGGGCCTTGTTCAGATAGTGTCCAATAACTGGATACAATTGAATGGAAGGAGGGAAAAAAGAATTCATACAATTGCAATTAGAAGTTCCAAGTTTGATCAGACTCAAGAGCTCCCAACATCCACATCCATAACAATATCTGTATCATTCCAACCATTGGGCACAGCTCAGGGAGTGCCCCATTGAACTCAACCAAGTCCTCTCATTCAAGGCGTCCCCCAGTCTAGTCTTTGGCAGAACCCTGGACTTGGATAAATGCTTCTCAGACAGCAAAGGCAGAATGGTTGGAGTATGACAGATTTTTATGTTCCATGCATACAAAAGGTTCATTCTATGGGCTACTGCTTCGTTCTTTGCAAATTCATTGTAACATTTGGGTGGAAAAAAAAGATTTATCACTTATTACTTGTATGTACACACAAAGCATATGTACACTGACTCTATTCTAAAAAGGCCCAAAAGCTGCTGGTTTTGTATTCAGACCCAGATGCCTTTCTTATTGAGGGGAGCACTTCTTAAAACGTAGGCTCCAAGACTGGAAAAAAAAAAAACCGCCCCAAATCCAGCCGCAGTTGCCCGCTGACATGGCAGAGAGATATCTTGACCGCCTGCCATTTTCAAGGATCCTGCTACATAGTTTGTCTCCTAAACAAGCCTTAAACAAGCTTAAAGAAGGAACAGAATTCCGTTTCTCTCTCTCTCTCTCTCTCTCTCTGTAGATCCAAAACAGCAACGCTTCAGAGCCAGCCGCGAGGCGGAATGCGAGAGTTTCGATTCGGCTTTTCCAATCCCCAGGCCAGGTCTTGGGAGGACAAGCGGGGAGGAAAGAAACTTGCTGGCCGGGCGGCGGCTCCTATCCCACTTCCTCCTCCGCAGCTTCTGGTAGGCTTGCAGGAAAGCCGCGAGGACGAGGCCGTCCTGTAATCAGAGCCGCGCAGCTGGGGGGCCTCCTAGCTTCTCGGAAGGCTCGAGAGACGCCCCCGAGGCAGCGCGGAAGGCAGGGCTCGCCAGCCGCGGGACAAAGACGCTTCCTGCCTTGCCGCCATAATGCCAGGTCAGTAGCTCCTTCCCCGGCCAGTCTAGCTGAGGCAAGAGACGGCCGGCGCCAACGCCGCCGACTCTCGGCTGCAGGGGGCGCACAAGGGCAGGACCCGCTTGAGCCGGGGAAGCCCACTTGCGAGACCGCGAAGTTCGGTCTCTAAAGCCTCTGTGGGTTTCGCACAAGTTCGCACCGGTTCCTGACAGGAAAAGCGTTTAGCGGAATTCCGCAGAGCTTGAACTCCGAGGCGCTTTGGAGGGGCTCATTGGGAGGGGCGTCCTCGGTGCATGTTTTAAATGGGTGCGAAGTACGAGTAAGTTTGTATTAAAGTGCCGATCCAAGACTCGTAGTTTTCAGGCTTGTGTTTATTATCATTTGCAGTCTCTGTATATTCAGAGTTGTATCGGGTACTTTCGATCAATTTATCGCAAGTGTTGTGGCATAGGCATACTGTAACAAGAATTATATGAATATAATAATGAAATCAGTATGTGGCTTTGTGTCGAGTGAGTCATGCTGTATGACTCACTGGCATGGTAACAGAGTCACCACTTCCATACTTTTTGCCAATGCCTCTCACAGAAACTTTTACTACAGAAATCATAGTTAATCCTATTATACCAAACCCCACTTAACATGCAGAGGATTCAAATGTATTCCAGCCATTGATTGCCCTTTTAGTAGGTAGAACTACATGTGAGTTTCAGCAAAAGCTCTGAATTTCTTCAACGGCTATTCTTAAACGTTATGAAGACTTAAACGTTAGGAAGCCTTATGAAGACTGGAAAATGGAGTTGCTACAATTCTAAGGAAACTTTAACATTCTTTCCATAATCCTAGAAGGCTTCTCCAAGTTCCTTGTTTCCACTGAATCACTCCTTCCTTTCCTTGTTGCCCAGCATATCATATATTCTGCATAAAGCACACAGGCTGAATCATCTTCTTCTCCCCACCTTTTCTATCTTTGCGCTTCTCATCCTTAGCAAGATTAAGATGTCTGGACTTCAGCTCCCAGAATTCCCCAGCCTGCATGCTGGGAATTGAAGTTCAGACACCTTAAAGTTGCTGAGGTTGAGAAAAACTGCTCCGGAACACTTGCTTCCTTCTTGTCTGCTTCCTAGATGTCATTATATCTTTTTCTGATTATCCGAATATCTCTTTGAACTTGAGCGCCATTCCTCTTATTATCATCAGACCAGTCTCACTTATCTGTAAGTGAGACTGGGCCACTTTGTAAGTAGAATGGTTAATGCCATTTTATTTTGTTTTGTTTCTTAAGCAGCAAATTGGTTGCTAACTTGGTTAAGTAACAGAAGTGGGCTGGGTAAGAAGGTGCATTTTCAATATGATGGGATATATGGACTGGCTGGAAGGGTGTGTGTGGCTTTTATTGATAGATTGATCAATTTATATATTTATTTAAAGAACTGTGTAACTGCCTGTCTCAGAGTCATCATGGCCAGTTAACAATAGCCAGTAAAAAGATAATAAAACCAGAACAATCCTTCCCACCTGGGGCTATGCTAACCCTCTATCAATCTCCTGGCTCAACCCTCATCCTAGTTCAATGCTTGGTGGAAAGAGTCACATTTCATGGTCTTCCAGAAGGTTGAAGTGGCTTATTATGCACTGTAACTGTGGAAGCCATTCCAGTAAGATTCCTTTTCAAGAAAGAAGTCAGAGAAAATGCTGTGTTCTTTATCCTAACTCTTGTCAGAATCCCATTTGCTAGATACCCAGGTAATAATGATGTGGTAAGAAAATTGAGGCTTTGTTTGCAGTGCTTGGTTGTCCTATGGCACTAAGTATATAGTATGCCTGTGACTCAATAGAACAACTAGTATGTGATCCTGGAAAGAGAAAGGGCTGCTTTAATGAGTTGTCTGCAGTGCAAGGAGTAGCAGAACCTGCTAGTTTAAAAACCAACATCCCTCTTCAACTCCTAGTCAAGAGGCAAAACTCCAGTGATAGAAAATTAGCTGCATTTGACTGCATGTGAATTTTCTTTTTTAGCTCTTAATCTGTCTTGAGACCCCATCTATTTGTCACTGAACAGATTTAGTAAAATATGCTCCAATGTATTTTGAAACACCAGTTCAGGATCAAATTGGAAAAGTTGCACAATTCCCCTAATAGCAATAGCACTTAGACTTATATGCCACTTTATAGCACTTTACAGCCCTCTCTAAGTGGTTTACCAAGTCAGCCTATTGCCCCCAACTATTTGGGTCCTCATTTTACCCACCTCAGAAGGCTGAGTCAACCTTGAGCCTGGCGATATTTGAACTGCCAAACTGCAGGCAGCTGGCTGCAGCAGAAGTAGCCTGCAGTACTGCACTCTAACCATTGCGCCACCAAGACTCATTAATAACTACAGTAACATTAAAATAAGATAGAGTTAGTACATTTTTAATACAGGTAGTCCTTGACTTACAACCATTTGTTTAATAACAATTCAAAATTACAACGGTATTGAAAAAAAAAACCTGTGACCATTTTTCACACAACTGTTGCAGCATTATCATGGTCACACGATCAAAAATCAGATGCTTGACAACAGACTATTTATGATGGTTGCAGTGTCCTGAGGCCATCTCACTTTCTGCAACCTTCTGACAAGCAATGGGGAAGCCTGATTCACTTAACTATGTTACTAACTTAACAACTGCAGGGATTCACTTAGTTTCATAAAATGGGGCAAAACTCACATCTGTCTTGCCTCGTGGTGAAAATTTTGGGCTCAGTCATGTTTGTAAGTTGAGGACTACCTGTAGTAATACACACAGGCAATTGTGAATCCATAGCTGCGTCGGTCTTTCTGAGCTGTTGTGCACCAGGCTCAGCTAGGACATGGGTGTGACTTGGATTCAGATCTGCTTGCAACCAAAACACATGGAATAACTTTGGACCCATCAGACTGAGCTACATCCTGTAACTCATCCTAGGAGGGGAAAGAAGGTATGAAATGGCTGTGCTACTTCAAGTGCAAGAAGGGCAGAATGAACTTGACAAAAAAAAGCTGCTCTTGCCAGATTCATGTCTTGCAGGGCTTTAAAAGCAGAGCTGAAGCAGGATGTGCTGTTGAGGCTGCCTATAATAAGTGCCTGGGATGCACAATAAGAGTCATTTGATTGATGGCAAACAATCCTTTTAGATGTTCTAAGATGAAACACTGAAGGAAATCACATGATGCACTTATTAGCTTTTACTGTGGTCCTTTGAAAGCCAAACTTATATATGTATGTCCTGTCCTGAAGTATCTATAATAAACAGCATCAAATAGCTCTCCAATCAGATGGTTTAACAGTATTCCAAAAATAGGTATAACAATTCAGTCACCCACGTGGGAACATTTCAGAACGTGTTTTTAACACTTTTATGAAGGCTTGATTTTATTCTGAAATGAATGGCTGTTTTTTTTAACATGTCCACAAATTGCCCATTTAGAATTTTTTTTTTTTTTCACTTCTCAGTGCTGCCCTTCAGAGCTACTTTTAAATTAATTTAATGGAGTCTAGCATTCATAATAATCTGAAGCTGTTTCTTAATCAGAATTGATTTTAGGACTAAGTGTTGTATTTCTGAGAACACATGACTCTTATTTTTTTTAAAAAGTGAATGAAGAAAAAGGCAGTGAAATTTGGGAAGCAGTCCTCAGTTGTTATATATTCCCTCAGTGTCTTAATCTTGGACTTTTATCTGTGGTATGATAAAACAGAAAAATAGACTTGGTCCCACTGAAAATTATTTGAAAAATTTATTGGATTTATTGGAATATCTTCAGGAAGCTGTAGGCTCCTATCTTCATGGAGCACAGTCCCAAAACTGCTTGTTTTAATTGCTAGTTCTATTAACTGCAATGAGCAATAGCTTTTTTCTTTTTCTTTGTACAACACAAAGCTGGCAAAAGCCAGGGTTGCTTCTTTTTTTTCAGATTTGTCATCCATTGTTCATATATTTTTATGTCTAATCCAAACAATCTTATGGTCAAAACTGAAACATTTCCAATTTCTAGGGTATTAGGGATTCACATTTCCCCTAGCTGAAGAAAGTTTTATTTATTATTTAAATTTATTACTGTATTTTTAAAACTTGTTGGCTACCCAATCCAGTGGTTTACTTTTAATTTTCTTTTCCTTTACTAATAATTTCTAGACTCTGTAAAATAAGTGTAGCTCATACTAGGTAACAGCATATGCCAATTTAATTTAGTATCTCAGTTCTAACTTTGCCAAACTGAGGACCCTGCAAAAAGCAAGAAAATAAAGCTTTTCCTTGTTGCTTGCTTCCCCTGTGATGATCAGACACTGCAGAAACCTCAACAATCAGAAACCAGGAACCTTTCTTGCTTCCAAATCTGGGTCTGAAAAGTTGCCTACGTTTTAACAGTTTCATAGCTACTTTCTTTCAAATAATGATGCCTTATAGTTTTGGTGCCAGCAGCAATCAAATTCTCCGTTTGTATGGATTTGTCTGGTTCTTTCAAAGAAAGGAGGTGGATTAGGCCTTAAACACCTGCAGTTACCATAATGATCTGGTCATTCAGCAGTCATTCTGAGTTCCATAATTGCCTGCTTTTGTGCAAAGGCTCAGTTTATCATCTGTGCCAAAGCCAAAATAAAGAGCATTTTCCTTTGTTAGCTTTTCTCTTGTTCCACAAACAAAAATAACTGAATTATTAATTTCTTTGGGTTACTTACAGACATGGTATTTATTGATACATTGTATTCACTTGAAAAGATACTAGAACTTTTCTCCAGTTTATTTTCTGTTAACATGGAAAAGTTATTTTAGATTGGGGCTCTCTTAGCATGGTTATTTGCTTGCAGGCATCTCATTACCAAATCATTGCTAGTGATTTCAGGGTTTGCTTCCTGTTTACATACAGTCATTTGCCTTGCCAGTATTGATGAGGGGTATAGGGTTAGGGTTGGTAGTTCCTTGATTAGGGTATTGGTTTGTGGTTTTTTGTCTAGTATTTGTCCCTGCTTATCTGGGAGAGGATGTGTTCTGTA